CTCTTTAGCTTCAGTTAGGAGGATTTTTTGAAAATTTGCTCTTGCGCCATGAAGAGGAAAATGAAAACATTTGAGTATCTGCTAAACCAGAGCAGACAGAAAAATACAATAAACTGGACTGAAAAGGGCTATTTTTGGGAATTTTTTTAAGCAATATGTTCCTAAGATTAAACTTAAAAAAAGCTTCAAACAGATAGTAGGTTAAATAATTTGAAGACAATTTTTCGAGATTTTGTAAATATGCGCTTTAAAGCTATTTTTTCTTAGAACCGCATCCTTAAAAAACCATAATTTTGAAATTGGTGTTTAATGGAAATACAGAAGCCATAAAAAAGTYTYYGGATGCSAAWWTTCCGACAACWATAAATYTGGTTGAKTAGAAATTTSSWYGTTTCTTCAAYTTGGAGCAAGAAGCCTTTYRMATTCTKWAKRGSTTAWAMRWSAAWAAAWTYRATYGAGTAGAAATTTCCTAGGGAATCATCCAAAAATGGCGAACAAATAACGTAMATACTGAAAAACCCAATMTTTTTATAGTTTTTAATTTAACTCTTTTAGTTTACAACAATCGYTTAAGGCAACRAACTCCTTAATWAAAAAAGACAGAAATGAATTTTTGGAAAAAATTATTTTTAAATCTCAATCCTCTATTGAACACAGTCGAATYTCAAAWAGCTGAGAAATTGGGAAATAACGAAAATTTCTGGGAGAAACCCAAGATTCAACCGCAGCTCAAAAAACTGGGGCAAACGCAATTTCCGTTCAATTTATAAAAAGTAAATCAAAATCAATCAAATCCCGTAAAAAAACTATTTTTGAGAGTCTTTTGCGCTAAAATCTAAAATCGAACTTTCCAAAGAACCGCCCCTGTGACTACGAAAATTAACAACTTCCAAAACAGTTCAAGCAGTATTTTGAAAATTTTACTGCTTATCATGGTCTGGATGGTGAAATTTTCATTAAAATCGATCCACAACTTGAGTTTTTAAGAATTCAAAAGTATTTGACCGGAAACACCAACTTGCTATTGGAAAATGTGTTTTTTGAACGTTTTACAATTTACACAAGCTGTCCAAATATTCAATAATGAATGAGAAAACGCTGAGCAGTTGTTTCTAATCCAAAAATTGGGAGAAAAAAGTTGTTGGTTGAAGCGAATGTTTCTTAAAACCGCAGCACTGAAAAAACACTAGTTTGAAACCGGAGCTTTATTGAAAACCCGAAGCCACCAAAAAGCTTAACCAAACTTGGGTTTCAAGGGTTTTCGAAATAAAATCGACAAATACAATCCTGGCTTTAAAAATGTGCTCTTTTTAAACTGGAGCCTTTTGAGGTGTTTACGGATTATAGAAAACATATTTTATTAATTTTTCTATTAAAACCCCTCAAAATTTTCAGGGATTTTTCAAACGTCTTTTTCGAACTCCTGATGATCAGTGTGCAATTTTTAGAGGTTTTTGGAGTTTTTTCCAGTTAAAACCCGTGTTTTTTTCGGTGATCTTACCTGAGAAATATCGGGATCCAATCGCATTTTCGCCTCCAGAGACTCATCGTCGCACTGTCGGCCCTCAAAACACAAAATAAGGAAAAAACAAAATCGCAGCAAACCGAACAGGTTCATTCTGGCGCGTTTCATGTGTTCGTCCGCAACTTTTCACGTAACGCGAAAAGAATCGAAATTGGACGAAAGTCGCGCTCAAACTTCCTCAATCCAACAAGTTTACGCGTCAAAACCGATGCGGCACTAACGGACGACGCTGTTTTCAGTTTTCCCACTGGGTTTTCTATTCGGCGCTTCGTTGGCAAAGAGCGTGCGCTGGACGGAGCTCTAAACAGGCCTCTGGACGGTCCCAATGCGGAACCGTGTTGCTCTAAATGTGCTCTAGCGGTTGAGGCTCTGTTTCCTTTTCCGCCCAAAATGCTGGATTTTTTCCTGCCATCCACAGTCAAGAGATCTAAGCAGAAACATGCCTTGAAGTTGAACAGAAGAAGACTGGAGTCAGGGGCGGATCCAGCTTTAAAAAAGTAATTTCGAAAAAATACTGGAAAAAATTGTCTATGAAATTAGAAAAATTATCGTCGTTTTGTGCAGGGGTGGCGCAAGATTATTGCAAAGTTTCATGTTTTCCGTCCCGTTTTGCATGTTTCTCGGACATCATTCCAAAGAGAACTAAATGGCGTTTTTAGAAAGTGAACCATCGATAAGGAAATGTTGGCAGTTTTCTCAAAAATGTTTGAATTTAAGAAGGTTTAGATTTGCGTGGTTTTTTTTTGAGTTGCAAAATCGAGAAATAGTAGAGAAAAAATAGAGAATTGAAAAGTCGCTTCAGTCGTAACAACGTGAGTGAGGAAATTCGAGTAGTTTTGACCCAGAAAGCGAAATTTGAATATCAGACACTTAGGTTCAAGATTATGCTAAAATTTCATGTTTACCGTTCCGTTTTTGCTCATTTTTCGGAGGAAAACCGATTTTCAGGTCCAAGAAGAAAAATGTTCCAGGTCCAAGAAGAAAAAAAAAAGGCCAGAAAATCCAAAAAGTTCATTTTTTCGAACACCCTGTAAACAGAACGATTTTTTTGAACAACCTGCAATTAGAAGGGATTAACAAAA